TATATATATATATATTTATAAATTGATTTTTTTTCTAACTTAATTTTTTTTAAGGTTATTGCAAGGCAAATTGAAACGTTCAAGCTGCTATGTTATGAACGCCAACTTACCTCATGGCGAAAAGAATTTCAGAAAGAATGGAATTCACTAGCATCCCGTTCATATAAATTTAATGCATATTTAACTGATCATGAAAAATGGATTTGTTCATGTCCATATTTTATAAATAATAGATTTTTTCTATGTAAGCATTTAGTTATTCCAGTCGGCCCAAAGCTACCCTCATTCTTTTATAACGTATGTATATTCTAAATTGTAAGTGTATGTATTATAATATAAATTTATAGCAACTAATTACAATTTATTAATTTAGATTCGTCGCAATTCAATATACCCTTTAATTGCAATATCATCAAGCAATCCTTGGCTAGAAATACGTTTAATTTGCGATTCTATAGACCTCAAAAATAATGAACGTTTATCAAATGATTCTACTGAAATATTCAATAACGATGAAATATGTGAAATAAATCAAGATGAAATGCTTGAAATAGACGAGAGCATTAGAGAAACTGAGCAAAAGCATGCACAATTGTCACAAGTTTTAAATGAGGTTTTTTTTTTTTTTTTTTTTTTTTTTTTTAATATTAAATTTTTAATTGCCATTTTATATTTAGACATTACGCATTCTTGATGAATCCAAAAGTTTTTCTAACCACCAAAAATTTCTGAATACTATGGAAACGAAGATAACCCTGCTTAAGAAGTTAGTGGAAGATATTATACGCTATGAAAATAAGCGCAAACTACTACGAACTTGGAAAGATAGAGATAGTAATGAAAATACACTATATTATGAATAAAAAATTTAATAATATAGCAGTTCTAATAATTTGTATTAAATAAATGAATGTATTCATGTGCTTATCTTGCATAAAATAAAAAATATGTATATATTTGTGCATTTTGTCTTGCGTATATTCAACATTTATGTTTCGCAAAATATAAAAATTTATTTATAAATCAAGTGATTTCGGAGTATTAATGGGGTCGGAAGATCATGTGTCTGTGCCCTCGATTAGTGATGATGCTGGGACTTTTCTCCTACAAGTACTCTTTTGCATCCACACTTCTATAATGTTCGTAACATCTGGGATATCCAACTCCAACATCATATCACTAATTATATGAAGAGAATAAATAATCCAGATCTTCTGGGTATTAGCTAGGGATGGGCAATTATATTATACCATATAATAAAAATGGTATAATAACCCGTATAATTGGTATAATATAATTAATAAAACGCTGTATAATTGGTATAATATTTTAGTGTAACAAAGTTGGCCAATAGAAATTTAGATGAAATTTTTCATAAAAATGAGCAAGCACATAACAAACCCATATATACTTTCTAAATATTTATTATACAGTTATTATACGGTATAATAACCTGGTTATTATACCACAATTTTAATTATACCGTATAATTCCCATCCCTAGTATTAGCTCACGCATTCGTCTTCAACAACTCCAAAACAATCTTTGGTCATCTACAAATATCTTAATACACCCTAAT